AGCTTCCATCAGAACTAAAATCTTAAATAAGGCAATGATGCAAAAAAGCAATGACCAACTTAGTATAGACATAATCAATGCTGCTTTAAAAAAACCCCAACAACACTTACATGTGCTTGGAGGAATGGGGCAAGGGAAAGGGAAACAGGGAGGAGAAATCAGATTTCACAGGTATAGAAACTCCTGGTAAGAAAACTCTTTTCACAATCACAGATCTACAACTGATCTTAGAGATTTAAGCCGTCTATCCAGGGTTACGTGGCTAGCAATGTGTAATAAGCAGTACTTGAACTCAGATTTCCTTGACTCAAAGACAACTTTCTATCCACTATGCCAACCTGACTCAGGGATTTCATAAACACAAAAAATCTCAAGGGACTCCAAATTTAGGTTATAGTTTATTTTTTTCCTTTCCCTTTAAAAATAACCCTGGAAGTTCAAAATAATTAGAATGTGACTGAATTAAAGGTATTGTTTGATTCTGATATCTACAGATGTTTCATTACCACATTAAGAGAAAATTATTTTTTTACTTTAAGCTTCTAACCTCTAAAATAAGCTTGGCCCCAAGAGAAAAGATGGGGGGGCAAATGTACCCCCCTCCATTTGTTGAAAGGGAAAGTTAAAAGGGTTATATGAGTGCATGCTCACATGTTCATGAACATGTAGATACGTTCAAATGAGTTTTGCCAAACTTTTTTCCCCCCGTTAATATTTTCATTACATGGGAATATGGGAGAGAAGAGGGTATATTTGGAAATAAAATTTAAAAATAAATGATAGATATTAAGAAAAACTTCCAAATACATGTAAAAAAGTAAATCTCAACGTAGAGAGAAATGATGGAAATTAATGAATTGTCTACATATCCAAAAAAGAAGTATAAAAAAAACTATGTTTAATGAGAGGGTTGGAGCACTTGTTTTTACAACCTGAACATATAGCACTTAAACCCTAGTTACAGGCATTGGTATAATATGACTCATTTCATCACAAAAACAAAGCTCCTAAGTGATACTTAGTACCTCTTATTTGTACAGTAGTGTATATACTGAACAACATTATCTCACATGAGCCTCACAAGAACCCTATGAAGTAAACAGGGCAAGTATTATCCTGATTTCATAGATGTGAAAATCAAAGCTCAAAAAGAATAAGACTTACCCAAGTTTACATAGTTAGCAGAGACAGTGAGGCAGTGGTTAAGAGTCAGGAAGAGCTTGGTTCACATCCCAGCCTCTAAAATACTAGATGTGTGACCTGGGTAAGCCTTTAACTCCTCTAAGACTGCTTCCACATATGTAAAAAGGAATAATGCCTAGAATCTAATTCACAGGGCTGTTTTAAGGTAATATATGTAAATGTTTGCCATATTTTTAAAGTCCTATATAAACAGTGGTCACTAGTAGTAGTAATAAGCAGAATTGGAATCCAAATCTTGGTCTTCTGATTCCTTATTAAAGCTTTGCCCAGGTTATCACTATGTATATATTACTCAAAACTTTTTTGGAAGTACTTCCAGAGCCAGTTTAGGAACCACAAAAAAATCCACTCCTTGCCATAGTATTTCCTGCCTTGATCACTGGTGTGAGCAATTCCCGTGAAGAAGGGGCCCACCTTCCTTGGTATCACCTATAGCAACTGAAAACTTAATTGCTACGTGGCAAGGTAAGCAAGCCCTAGAGCCCCAGGCGTGTCTATACCCCCACCCCAGACCACCAGTCCTCCTTCTAGCTCAACCCCAGAAAGCCATTATACAAAGAAACAACTACTGGGAAGACAGAATCTGGCAACTGCTTCTATAAGTATTGTAGCCTCATATACAGAAAAGAAAATTCTCACCATTAAAGTGCTTGGGAGACTGTTAAATAGCTTAGAATCAGCAGAAATGACATTAAAGAAGGTGCATTACTATCTTCTTTGCCACAGCACTCCAAGGTGAAAACTAATATGTAATCTCCACTAGAATGTGAGCTCCTTGGGAGCAAACTGCCTCTGCTTTTCTACTTGTATCCCCAGCAATTAGCAGAGTGCTTTGCAAATAGTAATCATTTAATAAATGTTTGTTCATTCATTTATGAGACTTGACTTCATAACTTTAAACTGTTTTTCAATCAAAAGGGCAGATTTGCCACAATTAGGACTATTCAATAGAATGTGGCACTCACTCTGAAATCAATGACCAAGGGGGCCTTGCAAAAACATTTTGAGCAATGGCAATATAGTTGGAATAGGTATACATATAGCTTCCTAATGACTGGTCTGAAAAAAAAAACACTAATTCTGATGTCTAAGCTCTAGTATATTTGACATAACTGTTAGTCACATCAGTCTGTGAAATTCAAAACTCAGCCTTCCTCCTACCGATCACTGCTATTACGACAAATTTCTATCATCAGACTCAGTACTTAACTAGTAGACTTTACTTGAATCATTCTATACTTAGGGACAATGTAGTATAATCCTGTCATTTTAAAGATAAAGGAGTTGAGGCCCAGACAGGCTGAGTTAGGTATCCAAGTTCAGAACACAGGAGACAAGACCGGATGGGCCAGTGTCAGCCACTGGCCAGTGTCAGTCAAACCCACATGGGGTTTGCTTTTCTTACTTCAGTCTCTGTGTTAGGCCACTACTTATACTCTTCACTTGATTCTATTTCTCCTTAGATGGGGAAAGAGAGACAGGGACAGAGAGACAGACAGAGGGACAGGGAGGGAAGGGTGACATTCAAACACTTGAAATATTTTATGCAACGTAACAGAAATGTATGTGCATATATATGTATGTATGCATATATGTACATGTATATCCACACAAATAAATGCATATTTGTGTATCTGTCTCTATCCATGTAGTTAAGAGCACCACATCACCGACATTTGGCAACTCTGTGGGTGTGGGAATGGGTAGAGTGCCAGGTGCAGCACAGACAACAACATTCCTCTTTCCCCACACCCCAAAACAATTCCTTTGACTGACACTAAATATCCAGCATTAACAGATTAGCATTCCCTGGTTCCTTATTGTATATAGCAGAGTTTTAGCCCAATAATGCCTCTATTGAAAATTTTGTGAAATCAGGTGTTGAAAAATCCAGATCTTCAAAAGTTTATGTGCAAAAGACATGGAAAGAAATATACAAATATAAATGCTTTAAAAACAACTTCGCGAATATCTTAATACAGAATTCCATGTTTTATTAACAATATCTAATGTCTTAAATGCTATTTTGTCACATCATTAAACGTTATAGTTGGTAGCAGGTATGGTAAATGAAGAAGCTGTTTTGCCCAAATAATATTTTCAAAAATTATTTAATGCCATAACAAGCTCTATTTCTGAGATTAAAAAACAAAAACAAAAACAAAAATGTGCAGAAATGATACAGTTAAACCTGTTGGCTGAATTTTTTTCTTTCACTACCCAGGACAAATGGGAGTAATGAAACCTCTATCAAACTTAAGATTTATTTTATAAAGCACCATTTTTATAACTATTGCATTATTTTGAGATATCCTTTGTTCTTCTAAATATTTCCCTTTGGTCTATAAAGTTTCTATGGTTAATTTTAAAAGGTCTTTGAGAACTTAAGAGTCAACTTTAACCTATAGGGTATGTATTATTTATTCATTAAAAGTAATAATGGTATAAAAAAAAGATATGATTAGGTACAAATGTCCGTGTTCCTTTTGTTTGTTTGTTTGTTTGTTTGTTTTTTAAAAGGCAGAACATATTTAGAAGCTCGTGAAACTACTTCAAAACCCAAACAGGGATTTCTGGACTTAGACAAGCTTTAAATAATATAATCATATAAGCTTCTGTTTAAGAATAGTAAATCTAAAATAGTCTATCTAAATTCAAACTGTATTCTTGCATGAAATGTTAGGCTCAAGTAAAGTACTGTCTATCAAAATATACTGCACATGGTGGATCCTTGATAAATATTTGATGACTGTTGAAATAAATTAAGGTATACAAAGTGCAAAGTCCCTAAAAGAATTTTTAACACTGAGGATAGGAATGGAAAGCTAAGTAAGGCTCGTATTAAAATTTCATGTTTAATGAAATCACAGCACAATGTTTTTTCTTAAAAATTCAGATCTTTCTAGTACATGATCTAAAAATCTTTATGTTATATAGTAGACTTATTCTGAAAGATGTGTCAAAGAACCTTATATGCAAAGCCAAAATCTAATCTGGCTAATTATAGAAAGCTATATTCAAATTTAATAACGGCAGCCATTTTAAACAGGCATTTGTTCAACTACATCTACAGAAAAACAAAAGCAACATACCTTACTAAACTAGAAAGTTAATCTGGATTGGTAATAAAAGTTTGCTAGAACTGAGTTGCATAAAATGTCTTAAGAATTCCCGACTATAGCATTAACATTAGGGCTTATCTGAATGTCCTAGAGACATCATTAGTATTAACATTTACTGAACTTGACTCTATACCACTGAGAATAAAGTAATTTAGTTTGGGAACATTTTATGACTACTATGTTTATATAGACCCCAATGACAGGCAAACTCTCCCAAATAGGTTAGAGCACTAAATTCTAAACCTACCTGACTACCTCCCTCTAAGCTGTATGAAGAAATTTCTTTGTGACTTAAAACTAAGAAGAAAAGAGTAACGTACTAGGATTATAAATCTAAAGCTGGAAGGCACAAAATTAGTAACACTTTTTCCTTAACTTGAAATATCTGATCTGAGTATAATGCCACTTGGGCAACCATTACTCAGTACTCACTGTATACACAGTACTGTGCTGGTCCAGATTAACATAATAGCAGGAAAGGCATCAATGTAATTTCCACATTTTATGTTTCTTCAGGCAGAGTGCCTATACTAACCTGCCTTCATAAGCACTGTCAAAACATACCATCACTGCACATGAAACAGCCCGAAAATTTAAAGTGTTCAAAGTAAAACAAACAAAAAACTGCACAGCAGTAAAAGTGAAGTCCAAATTAAGCCAACAAATAGCACTCACGTTGATGCCCAACCCATCAAAGGGTTTTCCCATCGCTCTCTGGTATCAAACTCCATCTTCCATTTCTTTGTGTTGTTGACTCCAGACTGCATGTTATTGCGAGTAGGAACAAAAATCTGAACTTTTCTAGTTTTGATATGTTCCTCTGGAACACCAGTCACTGTAGTAATATCCTAAAAAGAAACAAACAATTAAACATGTTTCAAACAGACTGTATACCCACAAATGTGCTTTTATAGTTCTCTTTCTTGACACTAATCTATTCACATTTCTTTATTTGTATACTGGTTTTCTACATCTTTATGGTTATTTAATTTCTCAGATAGATATGAAAGATAAGACATTCAACAAATCTCTTTATGAAAATGGTAGGGTCTTCCTGTTGTACTGAGACATCTCCTTTAATTCTCCCCACACTGTTAGTTTTACTGGCCAAAACTAAATCCTGCCGAAGCTTTTACAATAGTTGTTAAACTAAAAAACATACCAACTTAACAAAGGAGTGATATTAATTTTTAGAGTATCTTGCTGGAAGAAGGCTCTCTCTTCGTCAACTGGTATCAGGAGAAAATGAAAACAACAGTTCTTCAGCTTGGAGATAATGAAAATATTAAGTAAACTTTAAGTAGGAAAAAACACAATAGCAACAAACCCTATAATCAGTGTCTCACTATGGAGAACAATTAATTTCCTTTACAGGAAGGACTGAAACCATTAAAAAAATAAAACTAATTAAAACTCAATATGGTATTTTCATCTGCCTATGTTGACATCTTCTAAGATAAGGATGAATCAAATCTAATCTCTCCTCCAAAGCTAAGGGGGTGAAATTTTATAATTTTCCCAGCTCTGAATGCTAAATATTAAGGTTGAACTTTCTCGACCATTCCTCCCTCCCCAACCCCCTTACATCTCTGGTCGATAACAAAATGTTAAGGCGGTGTATATCCAGAGAGATGGTAATCTGCGTTAAATTCATTTAACAAACCTAAGCAATACTGACATGACACACAATAACTGGATAAACATATTTAATAAAACATTTCAGCACTTCTGTCCCTATTTAATAATAGTAAAAGATTTTAGTCTCTGAAAAGTAATAAGCATTGCTTCCAAATCATTCCCAGAAATGAAGCAAGTCTTAATTCACATTTCACTTAATAAAGTAAGCTTTGAACAGCTATTTAAGATGACCAGAGTGGGGGTAGGGGTAAACATGAAATACCTATAGAATAACTATAAAATTAAAGATTATGTTTTGCAAATAATAAGCCTCTGTACAGAACTAAGTTCTTCAACTCTTGTAAGTAATATATAATACTTTTTCATAAAAAACAACCTCAATAAATTTATGTTTTGGCCCAATAAATAAAAACTGACCAAACTTTTTTGGTTTTAAATAAAAGTAGTCGTTTATGGTCAATATATGTTTAGCAATGCTAACAATGAAAGAAATCATACTATCATTCAAAGCTACAACATATATAGGGAAAAGATTGACAGGTATGTCTGACTATACTGATCTAATACACTCACAAGATTAAAAAGCAATACACTTCAAAGTTTTTTATTTTAGTTGGCAATAAATGTTATGCTTAACACAATACTTTTCCACCTGTACCAATGATGAGGTGTGGTTTCTCTGTCACAGCTTGTCTGTTTATAGAAACTATCAAACGATACACATATATTTACACAAATATGCAGTCCAAGTATGTGCCTACATTATAAAAAAGAAAAGCAAACAACCGTTGCATGGTATCTGAAATAAAAGTGAAGATGTTTAATTGTCCCATATTGCAATGACAAAAATTAAGGGTAAGACCCAGAATCCTAAAATGTAAAACTATTACTCTATTATTATGATTTTTAAAATATGAGGACTAACTCCAAGAAAATGAATTCTAGATATCACAAGATTAGACGCTGAATCTAGTTTTAGAAAGAGATACTTCTCCGTATTCTAGGTACAGAAATGTATGAGTATATTTAACATTAAGTTAGTTTTTTCCCTTGATTTTTGCTGAATTACAATTTAACATGAATTATGACAAAAACCTCCTGAAATTAAGAAAATTACTTATTGTTTCAATTAGATAGTAAATAGCTAGATTATGTTGCTAATCTCTTTATATTTTTGACTTTTAAGTGCTTAAGTTTCCATGCCTTCTGGGAATATGACAATTATTTATTGATATCTTCCCCAATTTAAAGTTGGCACTTGAACAGACGATTCTTAGGACAATAAGTTTCTGGATTTTGAAGCCCAAGTTGTCCTGACATAGAGTCACTGTTTTTGCTTGCAGTAGACATGTAAGGTACTGTAGCATAGCTGAGCTGTTGCCAAAGATAGAGAATAAAAAAGCTTGGCATCTATCACATACTTGACACCTAAAGGGCACAGAAGCTCTAAAATTCCTATTCCCTGTAGGCGCACTCTTAGTCTAGACAAACTGATTTCTCACACTTTTAAAATGCATTACAACACTCTATTGTGATCATTTCATCCACACAGCTTCAGCTAGTGACAGAAGAACCTGTCCTTTAAGCGACATTTCAATGGCCTAAAGCTCCCGCTCTAAGATGCTATTAAAACAATATAATACTTGAAAAGAACTATGCTGCACTAAGTTGAACTCTGTACTCTGTCCTCAATGCTTTGCTTTGAGTCCAAGTTCTCAATGAGCTACCTGTGAACCAATTTTCAAAAACAAAATGTCTGAAAGCCATTTTAGGTTATAAGTATGACCTTAATTTTTTTTTTTAATAAGCTTCTTGATTTTTGCTCTTGCATTAAAAATCAGTTTAAAAGTTGGAGAATCACCTGCTAATAATGATTTATTGGGTTTTGGAAAAATCTAATAGAGCAGAAATACCTTGAATTCAACAAAGATTTGAAACTTTACCAATCTGAATGAACTGGACACTTGGGTATAGATTAAATAAATTAATACATTTTCTGACAACTAATGAATATGGTTAAGGTAAACTGGGACTTCAAATTTCACCTGAAAAAAGTTTGAATTAATTTCCTCTGTAAACTAAATAGCCAATTTTTTACTTGACATGTAGAAAATGGCAATCTATGCAATTATAACAAATAATGACATTATCCTACCAAAGTAAAAAAAAACCCAAAACAGACAACCCTTTTCTAAATATTTAAAATGTGAATGATGTATATGATATATGACTCACTTATACTACTATAGAAGATGGAAACATCTGAAAAAGATAGAGTTCCAAAACTGTAATATATTCTACTCCTACAGATGTAGGCCACAGAGGAAAACCCAATTGCAGTTCATGAACTCAACATTACCAGAATCTGGATTTGACTTTGACAGGATGTGTACGTCATTCTTCTGCAATATAGCTCACACCTACAGCATCATCTCTACCTTATCTTAAAAAATTTTAAAAGAGGTGGCAGCTGGTGGGTCTACCATTTTTTTCCCTGGAGGAACAAATAATTCACCAAATAGAAAAACTAAGAGAAAATAATAAGAAATGATGTGCTGATTCAAGTAAATCACATTTTTCTTCCAAATATCAGGGGGCCAAAATCTTTTTTACTCTTATTAAATATTAGCTTTTCATATAAAAACTATATGATTCGGTTATCAGCTATTCAGACCATTTATCTTGTGTGAATTCAACTTTTTTTTAAACAAAGGAAGCAGTGAACAAGCAATGGGAAGTTGGTGTCAAAATGCAGAAAAACCTCCCAGCAAGCTTCTTGCAACCACCCAGGATTTAGAGTCTTGCTGGCTGCTCTCTTTTCAATACCAGAATTTCACACGTTTCAATGACCATTATGACTTCAAAGAATCAAATTTTCATCATTGTCCGTCATCTGCCGGTTGATTTGTATAAAGGGGTTCTTCTGCATGCACTCTAAACAAAAGGCTCCCAACTTTCGTGGCGATATATCAAGTTTAAAAGTTCTGTTTGTGACAGTTGTGTCTGTGGTAAATTAGGGTAACAGTGAAGGAGTGCAGCTGCTCTGCAGGAACCTCCTTTTTGGCATCATTTCACTTAAATAAAAACTGAATAATTAGCTTCTGCCTTTATTAAACCACAAAAATGCCACTGGCCTTAGTAATTACTTCCGGTTGCCCCACCCACTTAACCTTAAGAGTTTACATTTGTCATAAAGGAGAAATAAATAGAAGTTTTTGCAGTTTAAATGAATTTAACATGGACCTCTCAGTATACTCTCCAAAGCCATAATTTTTACCAGGCCTTGGTAATAAGTTGAAATTGCATGAGAATTTTTTTTTGGGGGGGATATAGTTATCATGGAACATTATAAAACTAAAAACAACTATAACACACAAGAATTTGGTTAGTTGAGATGAAATTATAAACTGTCAGTTACAAAATAATACCTTTGAATTTATATTCAATTAGAGTTAATAAACTTGATTTTTTCTATTAAGATTCATGACATAACAGGTAACATTTATATAGTGCTTTAAGGTTTGCAAATAAGATTACACATGATATATCATTTGAGACTAACAATCATCCTGTGAGATAGGTAGTATTAGTATTCCCATTTTACAGATGTAGAAACTGAGGCTTAGAGACATTAAGTAACTAGCCCAGGGTCACACACCGATCAAATATCTAAGGCAGGATTCAAATACAGGTCTTCTGGACTCAAGTCCAAGATTCTATCTACTGTGCCACCAGGCTTCATCATCATCATTATCATCACTATGATTTTAAAAGACAAGTTCTAAGGAAATGCAAGGTGAACATAATTTTCATGTTCAATATGGACATTTAGGAATTCATTAAGTGATAATGATTGAGGATAATTCATATCTTGAATTTTAGAGTTGTAAGGAGGCAGGTGGTGCAGTGGATTGAGCGCTGGGCCTGCAGTGAGGAAGATTCATCTTACTGAGTTCAAATCTGGTCTCAGCTGTGTGACCCTAGACAAATCACTTAATCCTGATTGCCTCAGTTTCCTCATCTATAAAATGAGCTGGAGAAGGAAATGGCAAACCACTCTGGTATCTCTGGCAAGAAAACCCCAAATGGGGTCACAAAGAGTCAGACTACAAAAAACCAACTGAACAACAAGGAGGTAGATAGTATTAACATACCTTTTCCTCTTGAAGAGCTCAAAGCATTTTACAATTATCACTGAGTACAGTATTCT